GCAGCTTGTTTGCTTTGTGTGTTTCCCGTTAAGTTCCAAACTTCTTCACGGAATGGATAAAATCTCAGCAACTGAATCACATTTGTGGCTCTTGGCCTAACGCTTGTCTGAGTGTGAGGAATGGGTAATGGTAGGAATTTTACCATGTATTCCTTGACAGGCAGCTGCATAGCTGAGAAGAGCTGTGAGAGTGACAGGGAGTTTATGTATCCTGGAGATATGCAGAAAAACAAAGGGAAATAGGAAAGAAGTGAGAAAAAAAATTAAGCAGCAAAATCAGCAGTTACTCTAGCGGAACTGTACTGCTGCTTCATTCTTTTGGACTTGATTTAGAAAGAAAAATAATAGGCACATTTTTTCAGATTTATTATGTCTGGAGGTGGTATATTTAAGCTGAATAGACAGAGTGGGTGATAGGAGTGAGAATATAATGATAATACTAATTAGGGGGAATTTCAAGGCCAACCAAGAATGAAGGAGACAATCTTTCTGCCCCCCCAGACTATTGACCAAGTGGCGCCTCTTCCATTTCTAGACATTTCCAAAGACAAACTGGGACAAAACAGTAGTAAAAAAGACAAAACAATGCCAGAATCAGGTTCTTGCAATAGTTCCAGCTAAAGCTGTTCCAAAGCCACGTCAACAACAGCAGCAAATCCAAAAGCTACAATATAAGTTCTAGGAGATACTGCACCTTTTTCCTTTCTTCTGAAAGGAAGAACCATCTGTCGGGTGTTAGTCCCTTAGAGGCTGACATGAAAGACCCTCACATTTTGATTCCCACCCACCCAGCAGTGCAGAGATCTCTCTAGATCTGTCCTACATGACTCACGCCCATGAGGCAGAGAGCACATAAAGCCATCCTTACAGCCTGCAACTTTGTTAGTCTCCATGTGGGTTTCTACAGGGCTGGCCTGTATTGTGGTACCCCTGAACTCCATCTCTAAGGTTTCCCCAAAGCCAATGCCAGCCCTTGACAGCTTTTGTAAATCATGTGGGAGTTTATCTAGGGATGCCAGAAAGGCTGTACCAGTTCCAATAGCAAAGCTCCGACCAGTGCAGGGGCATTACCACATACCAGAGAACCCATTTTCCCACAAAGTTACTACAGCTTGGGCTACAGCTTGCTAAATGGGCAGTAAAGGGGTCAACATCTGGCTAATTTCTCCTAAATGGCCAACAAGGTTTTAATACCTGCAGGGTCAGAAAATCTCTGTCTCCACTGTGCAACAGAAACACAAAGCAACTTGACCTGGCTCTTGATTTACCTTTATTGTATCTGAAGTTCTAAAAACAACATTCTCAAGAAATACGTCGGACAGTTTTGTCTGTGCAAGAACAGAACTTAAAAAATAAGACAATATCATTGGGATTAGAAGAGTTTGCAGTTTACTGAATGACACTGTAGCTGTCAAAAATGCAAACCATAGAAACAGAAGTTGAAATCAGAGACAAAAGAAAAACCTAAATGTCTCTGATGACTTCTGTACAAAAAGGGAGGTTGCAGAGCTCATGCTGATGTAAACAGGAAAGAAAGAAAAGCCAGCCCCTGAAATTGGGAATAAGACTCAAGAAAAGTCAGTTCCATTTCCCTCCATAGATTGTTTGTGTAAACGATGGGCATATTTAAACTCAAGTCTCAAAGACAGAGAATAGGAGATTAATACTCTCTACTTCTGTCCTGCCTAATGAGATTGTAAGATCTCTCATTAATTGTTTGTCCCAGTCATAGCACAGCTGAGACCAGACCTCCTTTGGGGCCCCTCTACTTTATGATGCAATTAATGCACATAACCCTATGCCATTTATAGTTCTCAAGCCCCAATGAGTAACATGTGCTGGGATGACAGCTTTTTGTGATCGCCAGTGTCTCACTGGCAGCAAGTCTCATTTAAGTCCGCATCTTTTGCATCTACCTGTTTTGTGTTATAACCCTCTAAGGTCGTGAGTGCTGGAGCTGATGAAAAGCAAGAGTAAATCAGAGATGCACTAGGTAACTATTCACAGACATCCATCAGGCCAACTCTCCTTTATTTTACTTACAAAGGAAGGTTTAAGTGGAAAAATGCAAAACCTTAACTGGGATGGCACTTCTCGCTTTAGGGTAAGTGACACTTTTTGTCAGTGCAAGGAGGATTTTGCTTAGTCTTTCTGTACCACTTCACTTTTTCCAAAGCCATTTCTGTTTCTCTGCTGAAGAGATTTCCAGCCACAACTGCTTCATGATTAGATAAATTGCTTCTCTGTGCCAGAAAGATTTCATCTTATGTATTTGTTTATTTAACCTGCGTACCTCCATGAACTAACATCTTCTCTGCATTTAATAGGCAGTAGCGGGGCATGCAAAATCAAAGCTATGTTCTGCTGAAACTGCAAGATGAAACACACGAGCACTTCTAACTTCAGGGAGTTTTGCAGAGAGAAAATAGGAAGTGAAACAACTTTAAAAAATGCACACTTTTCTAATGCATTAAAGCCTTCGTTGCTTTTGCCAAAACTTCACTTTTAAGAAGAACCAGCTGTGGATTTGATTTCTATGCTTCTCAGCCATAAGTCAATAGAGGATTCAATAGAGGATTCAATTTTAGAGCACAAGACCTATAACACACAGTGTGAATCATCTCTTGTCTGCATATAAGATAGCACAGACAGATAACATGCTTAGTGAAAGCTTTATCACCAAGGAAACACATTCATAAGCATCGAATCGAGCACCTTAACATTTACCACTCACTTTTAAAAAAATGCCAGCTGTAAATAAGTCCATACTCATAACCAGAAATATGGGGTATCTATCACTCATGCCTAGTTTAAGAATTACTCATCGCCTAAGAGTGGCAATGGGCTGAGCCAATTTGCGAAAGTTCAGAGCTTCTGGAGATGTGGACTCTGATCTACCAGAAGTTAATTGTTTCAGAGAGATAATAATTTTTTGGTAATTATGTCCAACCAATCCATAAGTAACCCCTCACAGAATAGGTTTTATCTAGTGCCACTTGCTATTTCCTAAAGGTCATGGAATCTCTTTTTCTCACCTCTAACGGCTCACCTTTCCTGGGTGCACTATGGGGAAGCATAATTCCAGCAGAGTGGAAATTCAGTCAGCAAATGAGGCATCGACATAAATATTCATGGGGGGAAAAAACTTTTGAAAAAATGTTGGGAAAAGAGGGTAGGTAAATCACAGCATCCTCGGGAGGCCACTAAGATCTGCACCGACAATTTACATAGATTTGCTTAAAATTTTGTCTGTAATTTCAGAAGTGGTATCATACTTACCAACTTACCTCTTTCTTCGCAGTATTCAGGCATCTCTTAGTGCTGGACACTTGATTGAGGATGGAGCAGCTGCCCAGATGCCACACTGCACCCCTTTGTCATAACCTTGATTTACAGTGTGGGAATTAGCAAGGGAAATTATTCTCGATTACTCAGGGAAATACTTATGCCCCAGTCAATATACAACAGTTGTTGACTACCTAACTAGAATTCCTTCTCTGCTTTTCAAACCTGGACCTGATACAAAGGCAAGCAATGGGAGAAGCACACGAATTCACAGGACCACCTGCATGTACAAGGTTAAGTTTCTGTGCAAGCACTATAAGACACACTGGGTATTATCTCAAGGTAGAGCCCAAGTGGAGTTCAGCACAACTTAATATGGTAGTGATCCAGTTTCAAGACAAAAATTTGCAGGAAAAAATAAAAAGTGCTTGATTTTGAACTAGTTTTTGCTTGTGGCTGTGGTCACTGACAACACTTCTATTGACTTTGGTAGGAAAAGAGGGAAGCTGATGCTATGTGCCTTTAGAAAGCTGGCTCTGGAAACACACTATATACTTAAAATATTTGACTCCTTGCAGTTAATCCTACAAAGATGCACATTCATAGAGACCTTTGTTTAACTAAGAATCCTCTGAACTCAATCTCTCTCTGCCTCCTGTCTCCTTCCATGCAGATAAGTAGATATAAATAAACGTAGGCATTTGCCAGCTCAGGACTCAAATCACCAGGAGTCATTGTAACGCCCACAGGAATCTGAGATGTAGAATACCAGAATCCAACATCAGAATTTGATCGTTCAATGAAGAATGAGATATAAAGGATTACTTTAAAGTCACTGCTCATGAAGAAAAAGAACACTGACTGGTGGGTAATGATGCAATCTTGAACTCTCACACCGTATCTCGGTAAATATTACTGCACTATAATTGAGTTCATCAGGTTCCATGAGCATGCCCGTACTTTCTTCTCCATTTCTGGATGATTTTCATTGGTGTTATGCAAAGTACACTACTGTCTACTGGGAGGCTACCTGTGCTAAGCCAAAGCATATGCTTTTCAATTGTTTATTTCACCCTTGTTTGTAGCTTATCAGCTCTCAGATCCTCTCTAATGAGGACAGTGATCAGAGGGCTAGAACATACATACATTTTATAAGGACAAATTAGAGGCAATGTCAAGGTTTCCTCCTTTTTTTTCCCCCTCTTTTTCTCTGATCTAAAGAAAACCTTTTATTCAACCCTGATGGCATAAAAGAAGGTGATGTCATAATTTATGATATTAAACTGGTTACTAAAATGTCATTACACAAGTGATGTTTTAATTGATGATGTTAAACTGGTTAGCAGGAAAGCGTCAAGTGTCGCTTTCATGACATAAACTGCCAGTTATGATTATATAATATCAATTATTCTTTGGAAAACTGCATTAGATCAGTTAGTTCTGAACCAATGTAGTTGGGGCAGGTTCATATTTTTTTAAACGCTGTTCATCCAGTTCTCATTATTAGGAGTAAAATATACTTTGGATGCAGTTTAGACTTTTATAACTCTCCCCTTGAAACATAATACCTACCTTTCTCATTTGCCCTTTCAGCTGCCATCAGACCACAGTGAGCTAAAAAGAAAGCAGTGAGATAAATTGTATAGCCTTAACTGAGCTTGCCTTGTTCTGCAATCTTACAGAAACCAAACTTTTGAGTTGAAGGTAGACAAAAATAACATAACATAATTTTAATAGTAGGTTAAATATAGAACATTTGGATTTGCTGACAGGAGGTTGGTTACTATGAGCCCGGCTTTGACGCTCGATCTCCTAAAGCTTTAGCGTCCAGCTGCTCTTCAAATTCCTCTAAATCTTATTCAGGCGCAGAACCAAAAGCACATATTAATATCCAAAACACATGTAGCCAGATCTTAAAAACTTAATCCCTTCTAGGGATAGTTACAAGCAAAAGCAGCAAGTTTAGTTCATACATACTCTCTGGGTCTAACAGGAGGAGGATGAATCACCACTGATGCTGATCTGATCTAGCAAGTTTGTAACATTTCCCTAGTCAAAGATGCATTTTGTTCCTTGCTGTCAGTGACACATCTCTGGCTAACAGGCAAAGCTACTCAGAGATGCCATGATAACAGATGCAGCATAACAGGATGAGATTTTTATGAGAATTTCCCAGCTGAAATCTTATCTATTTTATAGGAGAACAGGTACACTCACATTAACGAGGGTGAAAGCAAAAGGCAGGAATATCTCTTGGTCAAGACTGTTGGATCTGTCTGAATTTAAATAAAAGGATTGCTCCCTCTTTTAAAATGGCAAAAAATTACAATGGAAAGATAAATTATGTACATCCATGCAACCACACTGACCCTGAGAGCAAGGACTCCAAAGCCAACAAAAGTTGGCTGCTAAGTAAGCCACACTATTACTTCCCTGAACAACTTTGTGCTCAGACCAATGCAGCCTTATAATGAAAGCTGGATGTGGAGGTGACTATAAGGGCCACACTTCTCTTCACTCCTTTCCCACACTAACTTTGAACAGCTCAGAAGCCACACTTCATGGCAGAGGTCTTAGAGGCTTGATCAAAGGAGTTATGGAAAGTCCCAGGGAGGAGCTGCAAAGAGGCAAAGGAAGAGCGTGCGAAGAAATACTCTGAAACACACACGTGATTTTCATTAGGCTTAATGGAGATGGTGGAAATTAATCTGCAGGGCAAGGCTTTGAAAACTTACCTCATGATTTCATCCATGCAAAAAAAATCTGTTGTCTCCTTTTAAGTCTCTTGTTCTCTACACGGCTTTGCAAGTAATGAATTTTGGTATTATCCCACTTCCCCAATCTTTCCCACAAGCTTAATGATGATTACTGACCTAAGTTCACTAAAGGAAAAAAAAAAAAGAAAAATAGAAAACAGGACAGAACGATGCAAAGTTTTGATTATCTGTATGTACCATGTGCTTTATTACCCACACATCTCTAGGTAGCATTCTACCTGTCACATTCTGGGGACACACCATTTCCACCAGCTCTCAGATCCTTAATACAGATGGTCAAATAATATCAAAATTTTGAAAGTTTATCCCCTTATGCCTGTTATTGCATCTGCTCTATCCCAGTCATTCCCATTAGAGCCATGTAACAATTTTTCTCTTTTTCCTGACTGGCTATAATTATTTAAAATACACTTTCAAGCCAGAGAGAGCTCGCATCAGGTGTATAGGCGATGCATCATATCACTCTGATTTACATAACAAGTCAGATAACATCTAAGCATTAAAGTGTGCACACTTGTTGACATGACAGAAGGCTGAAATCCTCTGAGACAGCTGCCTCTTAAAAGAAAGATGAGGACAAAAATTCTTTCAAAACCTTAGCAGGTTGAACCTGCCCACCCATGTAGTTGCTGCATCGTGGAAACACACCCGTAGCGCACGGCAGTACCGATCAATCTGCAACAAAGCTCCAGCTTACAAAAGCGAAATCCCTGCTAACATTTCATTGTAAGTGGAAGAAAGCACCGAGACACTGGTGGGTTTTCTTAAAAGTTATATCATAATTTATAATTGGTTGTTAATTAATGTCAGATCACAGTGGAATTCCTATGGAATTACAGAGTGGAGCCTCTTTAATTACTGGTTTATAATTATAAATCTCATTGGAATGAATAACACAGGAACTGTAATAAATGATGATGATCTTGGAAGACTTCTTGGACTAATAAAAATCTCTATATATGCATCTTAAGCAATTTTAGAAGCCGCCTTCATCTGGGGCAGGAAACAGATTCCATGGTGCATGACTCCCATTCTTGCATTATGCAAAAAAAAAACCAAAGAGAAAAAAAAATCTTAAATGCTATTTCACAACTAGAGCGATTACACCTTGTGAAATGAAAAATACATCTTAGGTCTCTTGGCCCTACAGCTTGCAATCTGTGTACATTGTAGATTACTAAGGTAAGACCCTTTCCACTGTTACTCTTTGGTTTTGTTATTCTCTACTGATTTGCTTGGCTGAGAAAGATCCTCTCTGCAATAACATAGTACAGGCCTGCAGCTTCCTGATCAGGTTGTTATGATCTGTGCTATACTTGCATACAATCAAGAATGAGATGATTAGTACTGTGCATGTTCACTGTTAATTAAGTGTACCCACAGCAGTTTGTCCTATGTTCTGCTGCACACATTTGTACCTCCCTAAACACCCGTGGGTGGAGAATTACAACTATAACAGCTTTACACCAGTACCCTACACACCAAAAGCCGATGCGGTATGTATCTTGTTAGGAATCTATTCAACCATCTTTTCCTCCTTTCAGTTTAACTTTGGGTTGTCTGAAATGAAACAGAAGTTGGGGTGCCTGCCATACAGAAAAAGCCCTACAAGAAGAGCTTCCAGTAGAGGAACTCATCTCTGCAACACATACATGAGGCAGAAGGGGAGGAGGCAGCTGCCTTCCTGTCTTGTCAGTGCCGTAACAGCATGGGACCACAGGCAGACCTGTGCACACACATAGAATCACAGAATCATAGAATCATAGAATAGTTAGGGTTGGAAAGGACCTTAAGATCATCAAGTTCCAACCGCTCTCAGCCAAAGTCATTCACAAGGACCTTATCTTTAGAATTTGGTTGAAGGTACAGATTTGAATCCAATAATTGTTTTCATAATTGGCTTTTTCCTGAGCCCCACCAGCTTCTTTTTTTATCACAAGTCCATTCACTTTCTCTCATTCTCCAGACTGCTAGTTACTGCTTTCAGCCATCCTCCTAAGACTTGTTTTGACTCTACATGGACATGAGCAACTCATATGTTGAGCCCCTCCTCCCCTACTTCTAAGAACACTGTTTTTCTCTGTTCCTTGCATTTTCCCCCAGTCCTCTCACAGTTCTGTTTCTCTGTGCCTTTGAGGCTGCAGCCCTGCATTTCTCTCTGTGTCCCATGTACAGCTGTGGGAATCTCTAAACCTGCCAATATGCACTTTGTAAAAGCATGTTGCGGATCTGATGGGTTTAATTTTGTGAGCCAAGAAACTCAGGCTTACAACATAATTGATACTAACAAATTGAGAGAGGCACTATGGCCCCTACCTAAAATAAAAGACAATCACAGTGAATTAAAGGTCATGATATAAAGAACTGTGCAGAGGAACAACACTGGGAAATAAGAACAAACGTAATACAGGCTACAGTGGAGTTAAACCAGAGATGAATTTGACTAAATAAAACATAAGAAACCTATTTCCTGTACTAATTACTCTGCTTCTTAGAGAAGTGTAATGTTGGCATCAGCCTTCATACTAAATTGCACCACAAAACCCCAACACTTAACAGTGTGTTAGCCTACACATTAGTCAGGCTTTACCAACTCTTATTTTGGCTAGCTATTGTTTATTTGCTGACAAATTTTCATTGCAGATTTTATTAAATGGAAAGATGCTTCTTGAATAGGAGAACTGCTATCCAAGGGCTTTAAGAAGTAACCACACAATATTGTTTGATTTTTGACTATCCATTTGTTTCTCATTCCACTTTCCAAAAGTGTTCCTTTAGTAAACGCAGACCAGCAGTGCCAAGAGGGCAACTTCCCTACAGGGCTTCCATGAAATACACAGGTTACAGTCACTAACACAGGCAGAAGGACAGCTCTTTTCTACTCATTCATTTTGTTGGCAGAACAAAAAGGACGGCACATTAGCAAGAGACTTTCATATGGACACTGGAATTAATCAGACTCAAATTTGCCTTCCCTTAAATCACAGGGTCATGCAAAGGTGGGGATAAGAATTTGCAGTTGTATCTTTGCAGGACTGCATTCCCAATTCTGCCCAACATAAGGGAGTCCCAGTGCCTTGGATTGCTGATTATTACAATCACCAACAGACACACGTACAGATTCAGGGAAAGTGTTCGAACTCTCACATTTGTATTCATTTTACTTTGACTTGACTGGAATCATAAAAGGAATGTGTAAACGAGGAGAGCCTGTTGCTGAAATGAAGTTGAATTTTTTCCCCACAGAAACTTGGGTTCATGACAGCTTTTTGTTGGGCAGGACATTAGCCTTTTGTAATTTATTGCTTTTAGATTAAATCTGGGGAAACTCAATATTGCAGTTGAATGATTAGAGCAATACCCCTCGGAGTAATAAATTTTCTTTGGTGCTGTGCATCTCCCGATCATGTTTCCCTTCTAATTACATTTACATAAATGATATTCTGCAAAATTAAATTAACATTCAAACTGTTACGCTGGCAAGGAGAGACAAAAATTAGTTACAAACTTACATCCCTAAAAAAACCTAAATGACACCTCGTTCTTTCCACAAACTGAATCACAGCTATCCCCCAAAGTATCTCACACACAACTGATTACTCTAGTTGGTTAATCACCAACCTAGATGCTCTGCTCTCCCTTTTGGAAGTTTATAGCTTGAGGTCCTGCTTTCCAAAGGGTCTCATTAAATAGAAGCAACCGGTGACAAACCAGATTTGGTTAGTGAAGTGCTCTGTTCAGACCTAGATTTGATTTCTACAGTTTCGGCCACAGCCCTTTCTCAGGGCTTCCCTGTCTTGGCTCCTGCGCACCATTCCTCTAGTGGGGAGCCAGAAAGTGCTTGGTGAGGCTCCCTGTGAACTTAGACTCAGTGCTGCCCTAGCACCTTCCTGATGAGGCTGAAGAAAGATGTTCTTGCTCATCATATATCCCCAGTGCCACACAGGCTGGCTAGCAGTGCCATGCTTTCCTGGGCTGTTCTCCAACCGACGGATGGGTGCGGGGTAACACAGAGCAAGTTTTCACTTGCCAAGAGGAGGGACCCTTATCCTGATGAGAAAAAAAGAGTGGCTGGCTCGGGAATCACAGAATCATAGAATAGTTAGGGTTGGAAAGTACCTTAAGATCATCTAGTTCCAACCCCCTTGCCATGGGCAAGGACACCTTCTGCTAAGGGAAGACAGTCTTCAACAGCTTTTCCAACATCAGAAGTTTAAATGGATTGCGATATGTAATGCTGATTTGCCTAAGGTCACTGATCTCCTGGCTACTCAATCTATTTTCTCAGTACTGTATGAAGAATGGTAACTTTTGCAGAGAGAAATTTTTTACTAAGACATACCTGGAAGAGCTTTATTTTTGTTGTCCAGTAGAGGATCTGCCGCTTCAGATACCCACCCACTGTAAAGACACAGTACGTCCATCTCCTCTCTACTTTCTTTTGTCTTTTGATGCCATTAATAAACCATCAAAATACTTACACAAAGAACACATGTCACATTCTATGAGCATGAGGCACCACTTTATGTTATTTGTTGACCGTGTGCCCACTGCACTGAAGATCACAATCTTTTCATTCAGGAATTTGATTACTGAACCTTTTCCTGCCTTCCCTTATAAAGAAGAGGATATACTGCCAAATATCAAGCAATATCAATGCTTACACATGTATACTCAAACAATTTTGAGGCATTAGTAACAAAAAAGGAAAATAAAAATCAATATTTATTACATCTCACATACGTATATATATATACTGTCACATCTGGAACTAAATCTATCAGCTCTACGGCAAGTGTGTCTATATGAGTGTGAGCATACTATAAATTGGGTGTGTTTCAAGGGGGGGAAAATACAATATCTGGAGAAAAAATTAACATAAAAATGTCAAAGTTGCTGATTAAATAAAGACTGTGTATATATGATCCTACTTTTCAGTTTGAAACCTGGATGATTTTAACATTTCAATTTTTGAAAACAAAGTTTGCATTCAGCGATTGAATTTCCCTGTTGAAACACATCAACTCAACATTTGCATTTTAGCATATTTCAGTTTACTTGGCAAAGAGATTGCTGTTTTTTTTCCCCAAAAAAGAACACTGGGC